CCTCCCCTTCTCAATTTCTTAACCTCACTGTACAAAATACACTGTACATTTCAACCAGACTTAAAAATAAAGCTGAAATTAACAGTAAACTTTCAAAAGACTATTTTGTAGCATATTTCTTAACACTGACCTTTTACTACTCAACATTATACGATATCTTAGATGAGCAATCATACGCAAAGGTTTGGGCACCTCCTGGTCAGATTTCATGTTTTATTGATTGACTTTGGACTCTGTAGACCACGTGTCAGTCTCCAGTCCTCGCGGGCCAAAACACAGCAGACTTCAGCACACTGCCTCAATGAACACGCCTGACTCAGCTCATCAGCTGATTAGCAAGGCCTTCATGAACTGAATTCAGAGCGTTAGATGAGGACGAACGCTGATCTCCGCAGCACTTTGGCCTGGAAGGTGCCCAGTTTTGACATGCATGCTGTAGAGGGTGTGTAAACTTATTTTCATTATCAACAAAACCTGGGCTGTTCAAACTTTCCCGTATGTGGGAACACACACAAGGCCAAAACCAGAGAGAGCTTCAGAGACTGAGAAAACGCCTTTCTCACTGCTCACTCCTAAATGCTGCTAATTATCCCTCCAAAAAAGAAGCCGTAATGTCAGAGTGTTCTCCTGATGCTATTTATTTAATTACATCTCAAATGAACTCAATTATACTTAATATAGAATAATGACCTGAATGTAATTATACAACATTGCTTTAGGCTAATAATACACAATTATCCATGTGCTATAATGTCTGTGAGAAATAAAGAAATAAGTATAATTAGATGTACTATGTAAAGTCAATGGTGTTTGGTTTAGGTCTGTCTGTGGGAGTCCTCACTCATTTATCACCTCTTTACATTGTCAGACAGACTGCACAGCGCTACATATTAAGAATGCAGCAGTGAATGCTTGATGTGAGGTGTATAACATTGGCCTGCATTATTTTGGAACAAAATGATTTACATTTGTCTGATTGAATGAACGATTTAAGTCATTCAAACAATCAAGGAACATTTGTGATTGGTCAGGCAACAAAACATTAAGTGATTGGTTAGAGCATTCTCTTACATATTGCAGACTTACAATACAACATCAGTGTTGTGGAGGCCAGTATAGTGATTAGCAATACACAGATTTGATATACTGGATCGATATTGGTGTCGATACTAACCTTATTAAAAGGACTGGATGGAGTCATATATTTGGTGCTGTTTTTAGGCATGGTCATTATAAAATATTAAATGTGTGATATTGTAAACCTTCTACAAAAAGGTAATAAAAAAATAAAACAATATATATATATATATATATATATATATATATATATATATATATATATATATATATATATATATGTGTGTGTGTGTGTGTATATATCATTGATTGATGGTGTATGATCATCCACGGTACATTGGACTTTTTATGTTGTATTTTAATGTTATATTTGCTACTATAAAACAAACAGAGGTATCAGATTGGTATTTGTTCAGATATCAGAATTCACTGGGTATCAGGAGAGAAATGGTTGGATCGATGCATCCCTAACTGCAATAACAGCTAGCAAATGATACATTGTGCAGTCCTAACTTGTAGGTGTATTAGATGGAAATTCCACCAATTTGCAAAATTTCTGCATAACTAATGGTGGAAGTCAGGACTGTTCAGTGTTTAATGCCTCTAAAAGCTCCCCCACAAAATAATATTACATGTAATGGTTATGAATACACTACCTGATACAGGAGACATTGTTCTGATCAACAATAGTTCTGAGATAAGCTTCTTAAAAACATATGTTTTTTTTTTTAAATCTATTCATAGAGGAGAGGTACATACAGAGAAGAAAACATACAGTGGGGTCCCAAAGTTTGAGGCCACATTATAAATATAGGATTAAAGGATTTTTATTTCATTTAAATCTGGAAATAAATAACAAAATGTTTTAGAATTTTGAAAAAATTAATATAGAAGACACAACAATATAAATGAAGATGAAATATTCAAGTTTCTGCATTATTTCTAAGTCACTATTCAAGTTGAGGCCTTTGTTCAAAAAAGGTCTCAGGCCTGCCTTTGAAAACTGTAGTAGTAAGTTTACTCAGTAATTTCTTTACAATAAACCATTTAACATCAAATCACTCTGAATTATTTTGTTTTTCAATGAATAAATTATTCAGAACTTTCTAAAAATTTGGTGGAATTTCCCTTTCACTATGTTCAAACTATAGCTAGCTGCCTGACCAGTGATCACTTATTTTCCCTCTCTGGTTTAGAACCTCATGCAGCTCAGCCACAGCAAACAGAGTCCTGAACAGTCACACCAAAACCCACATACACTAAACATGCTCTACATATACACTCAGACACACATACACAAGTGTGGCCTACAGTAGGAATGGACATGACTGGCCAGCAACAAACTGCACTCATACAGCGCAAAAGGAGTGGGCTAAATAAGAGTACTTTAAGCGGAGACTAAAACTACATATTACTATGTGCAGTCATATTAGACCGACCTTAAAGCATGTGACAGCATTAACAGCAGCCTCACCACTGTGCACCATCAGTGCGGTCGCAGCCCTCACACCTCACTTGAGCTCATACGAAACAAGAAGGCAAAGATCAGGCAGCAAAACAACCCACGAAGCAGACTCATGCCAATAACACCGCACATGCAGAACAGCAGAATAATGAGTTTAAATGTACAAAGTCATAAAGACAAACGATTATATGACTCTTTAAATGGAATTCCACCACTTTTCCAAAATTTCAGCGTGAGTAAATGATTTAAATATAAATAAAGTCATTCAGAGTGGTTTGATGTGAAATGGTCTGTTCTAGAGAAACTTACAGAGTCAGAATTTAACGGCTTTTTTAATGAGTTTAACGGCTCTAAAATCTCCCTCATAGAAAGTAATTTTTTACAAAAATTTGGAGATAAGCTTTTGGTCTTTACCACTATTTCACCATTATCAACCTAACATATAAAAACCCAGAAGACGTGTAGGTTCAATTTAAATAACAAATAAAACGGCTATATTTGTGTTGTTGATATCATGACCCCTGGTTCCTATCAGCACCGCTGCAAAGAAATCAGACTTGGTAAGTTTCTCTATAATGAATCATTTCACATCAAACCACCCTGAAAAACTTCGCTTACATGTCAAAGATTCACCTGTCCAGAAATTTGGAAAAATTGGTGCCCTTTAACTGTAAGTAAAACAAATTTGAGTAATGAAGAAATCTTATTTGTCTATTTAGTGAGTGGCATATATACATATATATAAACCCATAGTAAATTATAACGTGACTGGCAAAACAACAAACAAAAAAAACAAAAAAAACAAAACAACAACAACAACAAAAAATCACTATTACAAACACACAGTATTCTGAGATAAACATAAAAGATTTAGACGTCAGATGAATATTTGAGGATCTTTCAGGACAATACTTCCTTCAAAATACTCACAGTGCTAATGATGAAAGAAAGCCACTAAAGGCCAGTTAGCACAGGACTATTCTCTCTAATAAGCTTTCATTCATTGTTAGCAGCATTAGCCTTTTTGGGTGAAGTATCCATTAAAAGCTCTGTAAAGGAAGATTTTTACTCACTCTCTTCTACTCTATGTTTACCTATAACAGCTCTGTTAACTGTGAAGACCACATCAGATACTTTCGCTCATGCATACAGACAGTTGTGGCCTTGGGGTCTTCAATGTTTTGCTAATGGCTAAGAGGTGCACTGGACAGCCACTACACTAACTCCCACATCTCCATTAACTTTACTGGAGTTTAAATTGATGTCTAAAGTTTGCCTCTTTAGTTTTGCACTGAAGTTATGAAGCTAATGTAGCTAACAAGTCATAGGGGCTTACAAGCAGCAGTTAACATTGTGCCAATGACATGCCTTAATCATCACATTATAGGCTGTCAGACAAAGATGGATACTACTACTGTTTTTAGCTGTGCAACCTACTTTATGTCCGTTTTTATACCCCAGTATGCCACAGTATTAAAAAATAAAATTGCACAAGTCTTTTTAAGATTACTTAACAACCTGATGCAGTTTGAGGTGAGGGGTGTGATGATTTAGGCAGGTTTTTTCGCTAAATGCTAACTGGTGCACTAAAAGCTTCTATTACATGTTAGCTTGTCCCTAGCAAACTTCAGACACCTTGAACTTGAAGGGGAGTTCAACTGTTGAGATGTAAACAAAGTCAGCCAGAGTGGTTTGATGTGAAATGGTTGGTTTATTGTAGAGATTTCTTTACAGTGGTGGTGATGGGAACCATGACGTCCACAACACAAATACAGCCATTTTATTTACTATTCAACTGACCAGTGAACCTAATTTCTTCTGAGTTTTTTTGTGAGTGCAAATAAAATTCTGGTACTATTTTGCCTGCAAAAAGCCTCAAACCTCAAAACTATTGTAAAACAATGTCTCAGGCATCAGGCAGCTTATGTCTATTTATATTTATCTTCATATCTATTTCGTGTAATGACTTTCTGTGAGGGAGCTTTCAGAGGCATGGAACTCTTCAGACATCTGGTTCCTATCACCACATAAGTGAACAATTCTTGTTTGTCCAGAATGGAGCATTTCACATCAAACCACTATGAAAGACTAGCAGGCTGACCCTCAGCCACACAGTGGTTCAGTATTCAAGCAATGATGTCAGACACTAACACGCACAGATGTCTTTATACAGCTTATTTATTTATTGGAGAATAACAAGATGATGCATAGCACATTATCTGTAACATCAGAACTCCTCTCATGGCTGTAATATTGTCTGTCTGTATTGGTCCTTTAGCAGCAACTTCTGTCCTCATTGCCTTGCTATTAGGACACATCAAGACAATCCACTGCAAGAATATACTATTAGTAAAAGCTGGCAGTTAGAGGATGGAGGATGGCTGTTTTTTATGGAATCCAGATGAGATAAAGACAAACAAATGGAACAAAATGAAACAGACATGGAGTAACAGAGAGATGGGATTAAATAAATTTATTGAAATGATACAAAAACTGTGAATTAACAGCAAGACACTGTAAGTGAACAAAAAAAGCAAAGGAAGCAACACTGTATTCGAAGCACTGGGGAAAATGAAATAGTTGGAAGAGTAAAACTAAAAGAATGTCTAAATAAATACTGCTACTGCAAGCCAAGACCTCAAACAGGAGTAGTCACATTAGTAATACAGAGAAAAATTTAGATTCCCTTCATTGTTCAAGTAATCAAGTCCTGCTTCCGTTAATCTTTTCAAAACAGAGGCCTGCCCGGCGGTCTTGCGCTCTTGCCGAGTTTTCGACCACCGCATGACCACAAGAGCATCGGACAGGCTCAGAGAAACTGCAGCAGCACAGAAAATAAGCAAGCATCCAATCCAGTCAGTTTACACTGAGACAAAAAGAGTGAATGATAAATGCTGACAAAAGGGGAAAATTCATGCTAATGACACACCTTTGATACTTCAGAGGTGGTCGAGCTTGTGAACGTGTACAAAAAGATGAAAAAATAAAATATAGCCAATATATAATACATAACCAGTGATCACAAACGTACATGCTCTACACATAACTTAAGAAGTGAGGCCTAGCAATTCATACAAAGGTAACAAAGAAAAAAACAAATACACACAGAACGTCAGCCTGACGGCTGCAGTTAGTTTTAGATAAAATAATAAAAGAAACATCCATTTGCTGTTGCAAGAAAGCACGGAAATACATTTTTTTCATTTATTCCTTGTTTATTTTAAAGCAAATGAACATTGCTTCAATGACTGTCATTGTATATTTGCAAAAATAGGCCAAAACTGCATCAACTACAAAGATTTTGTGGTTCTGCTGAAAATACACGGTTTGAAATAAAGTGCTTTCTTGCAACAGTAAGGCTTCAAAGCTAAAGGCTCAATCAGAAATCGCAGTAAGTGACGATGCAGCAACAGGGGCTGTTAAATAACAAGACCTCCAGTTAAGCATAAAACATCCAGGTCACAAAGCGTCTGGAGGCGGTGATGACGTTTCAGCAGTTTCTGATTGAGGCTTTAACTCACAAAACATGTTGAACCATAAACCATGATGGTGCGATGGCTAATGGTACCTGTTCAACAGTACATTATGCAGTGGCAGCACAACAGGATAGGCTCCAGAATAGCTAAGCAGCATAAGATCTAAGGCCTCAGCTGAAATATGTACATGTGCAAAAGGTGCCAGGTCAGCATTAAGGGCATATATACGGTGAGAAATAACATATGCCTTGTATAGATTACCCTAGCCGGCTGCTGATCGCTTCTCTGATTCAACCCCAGCAGTCTACAAATGTGAATTAAGTATAAGGTGAATTTAAACGCAACAGTCTAATGTTCCAGAAGGCCTAATTCAAACCAATCAGCAATTCAAATCACACATGTGACAGCAGGGGGCGCTGCAGACCGCTGTGGGCCAAGTCTGGCAAGAATCTGTCTTTTCTGAAGCACCTCGGCTTCATTTTGAACAGTTAGGAAGCATATTGAATGTAACACTCTTGGTACTATCTAGATTAAAGCAGGAATGTTAAAGATCTAATAATAATAATAATAACAATGAAAATGTTCCACTTCAACTAGAACTTATAGGGCCCTTATCAAAGAAAACTAATTTTCTGAAACAAGGAGAGTTTGATGTAGTATGTAAACAGTGTTAAGGTTTTCTAATGTGCCACTCCCCAATTCATAAAGCCCGTATACGGAAAATACACTGCAAAAAAGGTCTCGTTTTGAATTGAATGAAAGTTTCTGAATGAAAGTGTTTTTGTGAGGTCACAAAACCCAACACATTCCCAATGTGTATAAATATCTGCCTATTTAGCAGTTTAGATCTGCCTATTCACAGTTAAGAGAGAACTGCTTTATGAAATGCCAAGGCAGGGAAGCCAATGAGAAGATGGTGATTTACATATATCAGTCTTAAAGGTACAGTAATGGAAGAAGTCTGTTTAATTCTAAGGGATGAAGAGTCATTAAAAAATGAATTGCAACTGTTTTAAGTAGAGAAACATTGTGTATGGAAAACCAAATTAAGTAGAAAATAAAGCAGATGAAATATGTCGGGTATGGGCCCTTTAGGTACACAATTTAGCAGCTGTTGGTTAAAGAGCTGAACTAACTGGAGGAAAAGGCTGAAGAAAAGCAAGCTGAAGCGTGTGGAGCCGTTGAACTGAGCATGGTCACAGCTGACTCTGACTGAAGGTCAGGCAAGCCTGCGTCACCACAATCTCCTTCTGACAACACACAGCACACCGATCAATACACGCTCTGAGGGGAGTCTCAGGGGAGTGTGTATGGGAGTGTGTGGCTGTTTGTCTGAAGTCAAAAACTCACAATGCGATTGATGGCAAAAACGCTATTGACGTCACAGTGGACTACAGGTGGATGGGGGGCGGAGCTAATTTTGGCTCATGCACAAGGGGCTAAAATAGTCCTTTTTGCTAACACTCTTCAAAAAAGCTTTAGCCTCCACTCAGCAGCCGGTCAGCCCATGACTTATCACTTTTAAGAGGGATACATCAACTTAACATGCTAAGACTGAATGTGGATGCAAGCATACACTAATTTGCATGGTGTTATTGTCATAATGCCACTGACTTTCATTCATTGTTAGCAACATTAACATTGTTGACTGAATTGTTTTTTTAACACATGCTGGGGGAGAAGAGAATAAAAAATGAAGAAAGAAAAAAATTAAAAGTATGTTCCACTCTTTGTCCTTCAACTGCACTTTAAAGGGGAACACCACTGATTTTTCAAAATTTCTGAGTAATTAAATGGTTAAGATGTCTACAAAGTGATTCAGAGTGGTTTGATGTGAAATGCTCCGATTTAGAGAAAGTCAGAGTTGTTCACAGTGGTGGTGATAGCAACCAGACGTCTGAAGAACTTAATGCCTCTAAAAGCTCCCTCACAGAAAGTTATTACATGGAATGGTTATGAATAGCTGAAGTCTGCGATGTTGTTTTATGATAATTTTGAGAGGGCTTTGGTCTGTAACATCTTTTTAAAATTCATTCATGGTGGAGGGGTACATGCAGGGTGTTCAAAGGCAAAATAGTCCCCAACAAAAGCTTTTTTTCAGATTTACCAAAATTTCAACATTACATATAAAAACTCGTGTAAGTTCACTGGTCATTCTGGACAGTTAATAAAATGGCTATATTTGTGTTGTAGACATGATGACCCCTGGTTCCTACCACCACCACTGTAAAGAAATCGGAGTCAGTAAGTTTCTCTACAAATAAACATTTTACATCTAGCCACTCTGAATGAATGAGTGATTTGAATTATTTCATGAATAATTGGACTGAATTATGCAGAAATTTAGCAAAATTGGTGGAATTCCCCTTTACCCTGTCTATGCACTCTCCCTGCCTATTATAAATAAAGCACCTCCTTTTGCTTTGGTTTCTTGCAGCATAACATACAGAACAGAAAGAGCAGAATAGCTGCATTGGTGTCTGCCTCAATGAAAGAACCTCTCAGAGAGGAAGACAGAAACAACACATCTGCTAGACAGTCACTGAAATGTAACAAAAAAAAAACAAGAAATAACACAAAATAAAATAAATATGCTGTCTGGCCCCCCTATTATTTACGCCCTTTTTCCAGATGAAGCAGGTCCGTTTAGTTGCGCTCCCCGACACTCTCCATCCTATAGACTACAGTGGTGGAACTGTCCTCATTGGACTCAGTGGGCGAGACTTTTTTCCACAGAGTGTCTTTGAGAGCCAGCTCCTGCTGAAGGCTCTCGTAATCCATCGGCCCGAAGGAGGTGTGCTGCTGTGTTGAGCAACACGGGGAGAACATGTTAATTATGCTCGCCTGCAGGGCTGCTGCATGTCTGTGCATGTGTGTGCATCTAAGATTCACAGTATTAAATATAGTAACATAAAAGCTACACCATAACAAAAACAAAGCAAGGTACAGATAGTGCCGTCTAATCTTCAAATAACATACGGCCAAACATGGGTGCGGTCTGTGGACGTTCGCCCCACTGCACAAACTGCTCACCTTCAAACAAGTTTTTCTTGCATGCCACAACTCTTACAACTGTTATTATGAAATGAATGACTGAAAAAAGATGGAATCCTTTTGTCTGAGGGGAAAAAAAGCCTTCAGAGCAGAGCGTCCTGACCCCATAGTGAATTAAAGCCATGAAAACAGCTCAATCCCCTGCGGAAAAAGTATGATTTCTATGAAATTCGCCTCCGTTGCCTATTAAGAGGTTAAATGGCGCTAGGCATGCAGAGTCAGGGCACGGCACTTCATGCAGAGCAGCTTTTCCACAATAAATAACTCAGAACAGGAGTGCTGCTTGTAGAACAGGTTTTTTAGGTTAAAATGACCAGGGCTGAATGCAGCTGTATGCATAGCTTAGCAAGATAGCATCAGCTTCAATTTAAGATAGTTCACCTAAGCTGAACGAGATTATTTCTGGCTCAGCAAAATATGACCTTAAATTGAACCAGTTAGTACACTAACCAATGTATACAGCTTTGTAGTACACAACTTTGGTCATAACCAGAACGGAGAGCAGCATTCCTATTCTTAGATGCAGCAAAGATTGTGTCTCTGTTATTTCACACTTATAGTATATCAGGTGCAAGTCAGAAAAGAGCAGCTAGTGCTTGGTAACAATTTGAAGTCATGGTTTAAAGTGGACAACACTGGTCACTAGGCAGCACATTCTATTGGCTCACATTATTTGGCATGTAGTGTTAACACTGTCCTGTAGGGGGCGGAAGGTTTCACCAGTAGTTGACTAGCATAGCGTCACAAGTCCGCAGAGAGCGGCCGCGTGACAGGAAGTAGAGGCTTCCTCTGCTCTGCGCAAGTCTCAATGCTCAACCATCTGTCCATGGCAAGGAGGAAAGAGGCGGCGGTTTTGGTTTTGTTGCAGTCATTCGTATAGGACGCTGTGTAGTGCGTTGATGGGGCATGCAGGGACGGCTAGGTGGGGAGGCAAATGAAAGAGTGCACTCACCCGCTGGTCACCGCCCTCACGCCGAGGGTCCAACTTCTTGGCGAAGTGCCGCAGGTTGTCGTAGTTGTGGAAGTTGAACAAGGACACCAGATCCTGCCAGGAAGAGAACATGACAGTGTGTCAACAAGGAAATAACTCGAAATACATTCTATACACAGTCAAACTTCATTAGTCACCCTCTCAGGTCCCCCTATGTGCGTGTGTGTGTGTGTATCGCTATTATCGGAAGAAAACCTTGTATCTCCAAAATGCTAACTTTACAGGAAAAGTAAAAAACCTACTTTACTTTTAATGTAAGTCAGTGGAACCAGACTTTTTTCCCAAGTCGTTCTGGGCCGTTTCTTTTGGTCCATTCATCATGGAATTTGCACACAATGTGAAGACCAACAGGTATTTTCAAATTATGTCAAAAACTGAAAAAGGCTATTAACATTTCAGTCATATTGTTGTCATTACCTGACATCAAAATTAAAAGAAAAAAATCTGCAGTGCAGACTCTAACCTGTCCATACGGAAAGGTAAATCTAATGTAAATGTAATTCAGGATGTAACTTACTATGTGCTTAATTATGTAAATACTAGTAAATAATCATGTAAATCAATATCATGACAAAGTCTTTTTCTGAGAGTCTTGCTGGCAATAAGCCACGTTCTCAGAATAGCCTGATGGAGGCCTGCCAGTGACAGCAGAGAAAGTGTACAAAGTCACACACACACACACACACACACACACACACACACACACACACACATACAGTATGCCCTAAGTGTGCAGGTCATAAGGTCAGCCTGCTGACTGGCTCCATTAGAAATTGATATGCGTCAATTGCAGCGCTATGTTTCAGGAAACGTGCTGAAAACTTTTCTCCTCACTAGACCATCTGGAGTGAGCTTAGGTTTTAATGATTTGTAATGTGCATCCTCTGACTGAAGCAGGATGCTCACTGTTCTGGAATTTTCTTAAACTTATAAAGCAAATATCTGTAAAGAGGAACTTTGCAAAAAAATTGAAGTTGATGTAAAGAGATTTTAGAAAAATAGAAAAAAATGGACAACTGAACTCACTGAAATGCTGCATTCTAAACATACACACACATTTTGCTCATACTTTTTTAGATTATTTACTATATGTAAATAAATATATATGTATGTGTGTGTGTGTGTGTGTCTACATACATATATACACATACATGCACATACATACACAGACACACACTGTTAGCCTCGTTCCTCACTGTTCTATAATGATCAGGACCCCACAAGACCACCACACAGCAGGTTATTTGGGTGGTGGTGTGTTAGTGTGCACTGGTGCGAGTGGATCAGACACCTCAGTGCTGCTGGGGTTTTGAAACATCTCAATAATAATTGCTATAATAAAAATAACAGTGTTTTTTAAAAACAGTATGTATATTTCAAAATAGGTCAGCTATACATACATCTAATCTGTATTTTGATGGGGCTGTTGGCTCAGGGGGGCCCTAGGCGGCTGCCTACCTTTGCCTAGTGAAAAGACCACCCCTGAGATGAAGGAACAGATTCATTGAGTAGGGGACGAAGACTATGCTCTGTAAAGGACGTATTATTCAGCGAACAGTTCTCATGGGTTTGAGCCTGGTCATGCAGCGCAGTATTTTAGTGGTTTCCACATGTGCAAAGCAAACGTCCTCTTTACATATATACACAAATATTCCCTACCAGAAGACCCCTACAGACAGCAGCGTAGTAGAACACACAGAGCTGCAGCCCTCTCTCTAAATATTTTCATATCTCTTTCTTGCTTGGCCCCTAGGTGACAGAATGATTGAACGTGACTCTGCTGCTGAGTATTTCTCTTTCTGGCTCTAGCGTCTCTCGCACTTCCAGCACAGTGTGTATGTGGAACGAAGGAACTGAAGAACGACAGAAGAAAGAGGGAGAGTTCTCCTCCTCTCTCAGCAGGCTTGGAAATTCACTGCAGTGCAGGAAAACTCACACACACTCGAGAGGGAACAGTGGAGCTGAGCCCCCAGTCTCTTGCATGCATGCTTCACTTTCACGTGCTATTCAGAAGTAGAGAAACAGCCTTGGGACACATACATTATTTACGAGTTCTGTAGCTTCAACCCTGTCTTTCCTAATATATCACCAGTGACACATTCAGAGTCTCCGCCTTTGTCTTCTTTAACTCATTAAAATCTGGTCTCAGAGTAATACAGTGCCCATGTCCACGCTGGTCACAGTGAAACGGATCACCATGTAGAGGTTTCTGTGTGCTACTGTGTTCTCTATCACTTCATAAAAGAAGCTCAATGCTGCCTTTATTGGGGATGCACCTCAATAGTTTATGAGTAATGGTGTGCACACATTTAGAATGCAAGTAATATTGCTGTGGAAACGCTTATTATTGATTTGGCTCATCAGAGTAACAATTAAAGGCAACTGACCTCTTTCTTTCTGTTGGCCAAATGGAAATCAATTTTTGATGTTTTCTAGTTAATGTAATTTCATAAAATATTTTTTTCCATTTGACTTAAATTATATTAACTGCGTTATCAGATTAACACGGTTGGCTCTGTGTGTGTCTGTGAAATGTTGTGACCCTGTTTTGAGCTGCTAGCGAGCAATGAGGGGTGAAAGCAGAGGGGTGAGAACCCCCTACCAAGAAAATCTCTCCACAAACACAAGCCAGTACAGCTGCAGCTTTCTTCATATCAAAAACCTGTGTACAACTGCTGTAATGAACACTTTAATAAATGTTGGCTTGCTCACTTACAAAGATGAACATCAGGAACACAAAAAACACCTCTAGTTTTGTAAATTATATGCGTTTACATTGAAATATATCAATGCTATTGAAGAAAAAACTGTAGTACAAAAACTGTGGGACCTCCACAACCGGCAGAAATGTCATTTTATGGCTACTGTGAAAAGGGTTAAAGTGTGAAGCAGAAAGAAATCACGTTATTAAAGAAGAACAGCTTTTCTGGCTTGGGAGGTACAATCTCTCTTTTACTTAGGCTAAGAGTTTTTGATTTGGTTTATCAAATGTCTGTGAAAAAGAGAAGGTTCAACAGCTCTGTGGAGATAAAGATCACAAGAAAGGAAACAGTGTAGCACCTTGAAAATAGATGAGCGTCAGAGTCAAAAAGTGCTATTCTAAAAACACGAACAAGATAACTCATCAAAACCAGGCACCGGTTCTACCCACATCTCCTTGCTCTACTGCCACATAAGCTGAATTGGCTCTTTCACATGCTGGCTAGCAAACACATCAGCAACTTTTAAGAGCCTGACTGTCATTCAAAGAAAGAATCTAATAGCATGTCTAGGATTTATACTGACAGCCTGGTAAATAAGAACTTTATGCACCAAAAATCTTCATTTTTACTTAAATATTTTCTAACCTCTCTTGATCTCTTAAAATTAAGCAGAATTTTTGTTACTGTGGCTTGAAGACTGGAATATATAAATGACCTCTGTTCTGATTGCCCTGTATTGTTTATTATTGAAACACTCCTCAGAACCAGCATGGATAGACAGGTTTAACCTGCTGAGTACTGAATAAGTGGATATCTATAAAAACAAACAATTAAAATGGCCTGTTTTGCAGCTTAACTTCCATATATAAATTGTACGGACTGAACAGTAATTTTTATTTTTTTTTTTAAAGGAAAATTGGATTTGCCATGATATGGGTTTTAAGTAAAACAATACTGATTTCAAAAGTGTGTGTGTGTCTGCATGCATGGCACAGAAGTGTTCACATACCTGGCAGAACTGGATGCCACGCACACTATTGCCCAGTTTGTCCAGTGGAGGAGACCAGCACATGATCCCCATTACATTGGGTACCACCAACAGGATGCCCCCTGCCACACCCGACTTGGCCGGCAGACCCACCTGAGAAATACAGATCACATACAGGTGATATTTCAATTATAATCTGATTGATTGTTGCTGTGTTTGTACTACTTTTATAATTGTAACAAGAGGGGAACTTCTTTATAAGCTGCTTTGGCTGCTTTAATACATAAGAATCAGTGACTGTCATGAAAACTCACAGTAATTTGTTACGACCTCTTAATAATTTCTAAAGATAAATCTTGTATCTTTAAATAAGATTTACTTAAAACATGGTGGACCTGACAAAATGGACAAAGAGTGTAGATACAAGATAGGTGTAAGTTATAAAGACACTAGTGAGAATATGCTGTGTCATTATCAGACAGGCTTTATGTTCTCTCTTTTCCGTATGACTTTTCCCGTGTTAAACAGGAACTGATCCAGGTTAGTGGGGAAATATGGGCTATGAGGAAGCATGTGTTTCTATAAGAGAAGAGAAAAGAATACCTGCACGCTGCTACTTTCAGGTTGTTAAACTGCCGTGGCTGTGAAACTCAGCTAAGCACCAGGGCAGGACTATTGGAGCATGCAGCTATTAAAACTTCCCCATGGCAGGGAGAAGTGGCAATGTTGAAATGTGGTCATAGAATAATAGTAGGTGCCGAACAACAGCCAGAAAGAGCAAAGGCTGTTAACCCATATCTTACCTAATGTATCGTCTACTACTCATTCAGAGACTTTGGAAATGTCCTCTCTAATTCTTAAAATTATCCGAAATCGCAGCTGTATGTGTGCCACTACATTACTTATCACTGCATAAAAGAAGCACCATGCTGCCTTTATTGTTGGTGACAGTTTGTAACTGAGAGTGTGCTCACATTCAGATCACTATTCAGATCTCTATCGCACAAAGTAAAAGCCTTAAGCATGATTATGTTATTACATATAAAATAAACGCTACACTTTCAGAAAAAAGACAGCTCAGGTACATTTTTGTTCATTATGAAACACATAATGTAAATATACCCTCAAAGTTACAACAAAGGCCTAATTGTGTAACTTAAATAAGTATTAATGATACTCTTTCCCAGTGGAAAGGTATTTATTTGTACATTTTCATAACCTAATGTTTTATAATGGAAAAATAAAATGAAAGGACATATGGAGTCAATGCAATGTTATGTTGTAATTAAACATTTATGTTCCCTAAGTACCCTAAGTAAAGGAACCGTAGACAAATCTTCAGTACCACCTCAGTGGAAGTTATCACTCTTTTTTGTGGGACATTGAGAAATCACATTAGTAAAAAGAGGAAATACTGCTTTTTTGCCTTGGCATTAAATGATTCAATGACCCTGGCTTGCAGATTCTGTTATGATGACTTCACAAGGTGTTATATCAGAGTTATATCCTGTCACTGGCTGTCAAGGATATGAATGCCTTAATAATATAAAATCTAAAATAAAATAATATCTATACAGCTAAAATGTATGTTTTTTTAAGCATTATTGTTTTGGCAAGAAAGGCAATGTATTCATTAGGCTGTACTGATCTGCCACAGTCTGATAACTCGCTGTGTCCAGTTTGTCTGAGAGGATGCGACCCCTGACCCAATTTCTGACTAAATAATCAAGCTAATGTAGAGATAATGTAGAGACAACCTCTCTATAGACTACATATTCATGTATGCTTGTACGTGTGTGTGTATAAGTGTAAACAAAAGTAATAGTGAGTGCAAAATTTTGAACAGTGATTTCAAACTTTTGAATGTTGATTTCATACATATTGAGTCCATAGTGTACCACACCATGCTAAAGTAAGAACAGCGTGTGTCTGTATGTGGGACTCACGTGGAAGGCGAACTGCCCAGAGAAGTCGTACATGCCGCAGGAGTGCATAAGACTCAGTGTGTTCCGCACAGCCTCCGGACTCAGCACGCGCTCGCCCGTGATAGGACAGAAGCCACCGTTGGCCAGCGTGGCAGCCATCACACTGGCACTCTCACACGTCACCTCAATGGAGCACAGCTACACAAACACCAAATCAAAAATAACCCTCAGTACTGTAATACTATCCATAAATAGCACATAAATCATTAGCTCCCAGCTTCAGAGACCATAATCTATAATTAGTAGTGTCTAGGGGCTCTGATTGAGCTCTGGGCTTTAAAACGTAAAGCCAAAGGGATGTTATTGACGAGCACATGTTCAGCCAGCCAGCAGCTCTGAGCTTGGCAGGGCAGAGCTGATGAAGCAACAGTACCCATGAGAGTGTGTGTCACGTCAGCGCTGTCATCCTGTTACACATTCCCACAGAGACATGGGACAGTCACCAGACTTTGTCGTGTCTAAGTGAGACAAAGCCTGCTGTATTATAGGTCAACCTGAAGAGCCATAGGGACTGGCACTTAAATCATATATATCCAAACTCAATGGGAAGTGAATAGTCAGGTTTGGTTTGGTTCAGACACCATCATATACACTATATAACCCAAAACACCTGCTCATCCAATGTTTCTTGTGAAATCAAGGGTATTAATAGGGCCTCCCTCCAGAGCGCCACATTTCATTGGCAATGCTTTCTATGGAGAATGCTCAAGCTGTACATGTGCAATTGAAAGCCTGTGTCACCAGTGGGTGCAGCTTAAAGTCAGTGAATTCACTAATTAGAAGGGTTTGGATACTTTTGGACATATAATGTATTTGCTGAGCTTGGTTTGGGATTAGATCTGTATCCCACCTTTAATATAGTCTGGCCCTTACCCTTGCATTAGGTTTTATTTTATTCTGTCAAGTTTAATCAGGAATGCTGCAGGCACTTGCTGTTGGTCCAACACAGTTCACAACTTCGGCAAGAGAACAACACATTGTGTACAGTTTATCCAGATTAAAATCATGATTATTTTGGATTACAGATAACTTAATCTTGGATTGCAGATCACAGACATTTTTAAAATCTGTTTATTCATGATCTGGCTCTTGCCACATAATAACTTCTTGTTAGTTTTTGTTGGTCACTGGTTCATGGTGGTCAGCTCTGAGACAGGATTTTGTAAGTTTTGGGACAGGATTGAATTCTAAACTCAGCGCTGTGGTTTGGTTCCTTCTCAGGAAAAATTATTTTGGGCTATATTTCAGTTTAAATAAAAATTTCAGGCTCTTACAATTATTAAAGCTCTAACAGAGTACTGTTACTGCTGCAAGGTTAGTTCAGTACTGCCCACATATCTGCATCCATAAGGTAAAAAAATATCCTAAATTGTGCATCTTACACTGCTATATATTTAACATTTAACTCTTACTTTCACTTAAGTCACAGGCAAGAGGTTCACATTGAAACAAGTGGCATGTGAAGTCTAAGCAGCAAATGCACTGCAAATTGGAATAAACTGAGAGTGAAGCTGAGACTGCTGTGGTGCCATGGAACACTGCACGGTTGCTCTCACCTGGAAGTAGAAGTCCAGGATGGATGTCATATCTGTACCCTCAGGAAAACACTGTGCACAGACACAAAGGAGCACACATAATAAGCAAAGCAGATGGGCTACAAGACCATATAACAACGCAAAAAAAGATTAAAAGAATTTACATTTAAATGATCAGATAGGAAGAGGGTAAAAGAGAGAGTAATAGAGTAATAGCTTAATAAAGCAGTAGAGTAATGCTATAATGCAGTGATAAAGTAACACAATAATGAAGTCATAGAGTACTGCAGTAATACAGCAATAGAATAATGCAGTAATAGAGTAATACAGCAATGGAATAATAGCGGAAGCAGTAATGCAGTGATATAAAAATGCCAAATGCTAAAAACATTACTCAGTGCTGCCCTCTAAGTATGTTAGAGCACCAAGTTAGAAATATGAACTTTTTTTGTTTTCATGAACCCCATAATGTCTCAATAGATGCATTTACTGCTTTTTTTATTTACATTATTTGCCTCAACAAGACGCAACCAGTTATTTGAAATTATTTGCAAAACCCAATAATTGCAATTAGGCGATTATGTAATAATTGTGACAGGCCTAAATGGAATAATAGAGTAATGAAGTATTACAGTAATGCAGTAATATAGTAATAGAGTACAGCAGTAATACAGTGATAGAATGATGCAGTACTAAAGTAATGCAGTAATAGACTAATGCGTAATAACATTATAATAACAGAATAATACAGTGAAGCAGTAATAGAGTAAGAGACTAATGCAGTGACAGAATTACAGAATAATACAGTAAGGCTGTGATAAAGTTATGCAGCAATAAGAGTAATTCAGTAATCGAGTAACAGATTAATAGAGAAATGCAATAATAAAAGTGTAACACAGTAATAGAGTAATACAGTAACAGAAAAAGAGAGTGATGCAGTAATATAGTAGTGTACAGCAATGTCCTCACACGAACCTTCTTCTCTTTCAGGTAGTAGCCGATAGCAAAATTCCTATCACCTGACTCACGTTCAGACTGGAATCTGGGTTAGAAAACACAGATGGTTGCTAAGCCCAGGTCAACACACACACACACACTTCTTATGCTGTTCAATGCATTTAATTTTTTCTTCTTAACGCCTCTCTCTCCTTTCTACCTCCACCTATAATCATGTCAAGTGTTTTTACCCTGCATTTATACACAACAAACATATTGAATATGCATGACAGAGTCATTACGTATTAACAGTCAGCGCAGTCAAAACAAACTGGGCTAGTGAATAATGGAGAGAGTGCTCAGGGCACCAGGCAGCTCTACTTACGTTGCGTTGCTGAAACCCACATACTCATTCCCTGCCATCTTTTTCAGGAAATTCATCACCTGCAAGATCACACAGCACAAAACACACAAGTTACAACAAAGGTGGACTGAAATACCTGTTCTAACTAGACCAACAATTCTATTATACTCACATAGTCAAACTTCTCTGCATTGCTTGCCTTTTGCTGAAAGAGATGAAAAAAGGAAGGAGATTAACCATTTGACAGAGCAGATCATTATTACAAGAGTCATATCAACCATGTGAGGACAAAAGTCTTTATTAGCATTACTAAATACTATCATATACACAGAAAAGCCACATAACATCTTTAAAAGAGAAATAGATTTTCCCTATAGTGGTACAGTGCAAATCAAAATGCATTCAAACAGAAATGTGACTATATACTTGCACATCGCAGGGTGATTTTAACATACAAATCAAAGCAATAAAAACACAATCAAATCAGTTAGGGTTATTTTGTTAGACATAAATGAAAGAGGAGGCTACAGAAAGATGAAGCCTATACGGAACCTCATAAATTTGCTGCTGTGAACGGACTGTTATTCAAATATTAGCTACAGTAAAGTACTATGTGTGAATTAGCTATGACGATGCACTATTATTCTACAAAGGCAATGGAGGATGAACTGCTACAGGTAAATTGCCTCGGTTAATGTCCTACATGATCACCTGGATGCCAAACAAGTGGGGTCAATAAAGTGGATGATGTCCAAAAGAGCTGATTCTGTAGCCGATGTGTGAATTGTTCTTGATCCTGTAGCTGGTTGACTTAACACACGCACAGACTGAGGATAACGTGATGTGAATGGGAACAGTCTGTGGATCAGCACTCATTAACCTATGACTCAGGTTGCTAGGAGACGAGGGTGGGTAGAAGGGGCTGCACAATATAAACAGCTTTGTGACAATGAAATGTGCATTATGGGCATTTTGCACCTCTGGAAGAATGAGAGGCAAGGTGTCGGTATCTTAATGAACACGATGCAAAAACAGGGCTATTTCTGCCTTTTCATGTACTCTTTTTTTGTCATTAACACAATTTTTAAATGCCGACTTTGCGTTATTTGGTATGTAAATACCGCAATCTAACAATGCTGAAAACTCATAGATTTTTATTTTGTTTGTGTCACAAACTATCATTTTCTATAAGAAAACACACGTATAGGAATAAAAGTCAGATTTCAAAGAGCGGCTTTCTTTTTTGGGGCCTAGAGGTCCAATGTGGTAACTTAACTGACCTCTGGATCTCAACACTCTTAGCTGGATATAATATAAAACAAAACAGCTCTTTGTATCACTTGAAGTGTCATAATGATAAATATATTTAAAGGTTTGATACGATTCTGGATTCTGAGGTAAAAAATATATTTAATATTTTCTGTATTAAAACAAACTCTACAGAGCTTCAAATATTGAGATCTCGAATTCTTTCAATGCCTGTCGTGCCAGCCCTCTGACGAAATGAGCCCCTGAAATCGCAACCTCTATAATTTATAAGTGACTTTAGATATAAAAGTCCAGTCATTTGAGCATGGGTGAGTGCGTAGCATAAGCCCCGCCCAATTTACTGTGACAGGATGCACCCTAGCTTTGATCAGTGACAGTGGTAAATAAGAGACGCTCAGAAAAGATGGAGGGCCGTATGGTCGATACAGTTTTAAATTCACACAAGTTTCAGATGTTACGTTTTTCAATTTTTCGATATTGTCTAAATCGCTGCACCCTTAATCAGTTGTACTGTTATGTTCATGTATATTTGAACATCTTATTAAGATCAGTAAACATACTTTTTTCTCTTTTGATTGTTCAGTTTCTAAAGGCTGTTTCTGATATCATGTGGTTTAAAGAATATATTGTGAAGGACAGTTTACACCTATAATATTACGTAGCCCTAGCAGATGGTGGGAAGGACTGGAGTGGACTGGAGGTTGAGTAGAGGGATGAAGGACAGTGAAGAGTGGAAAAGGTGCCAGAAGAACAGGTACAGTTTTCCTAAGAGATGTCAAACTGCACTCCTGGACAGTACTGCACTGGTTAGTTCTGTCCATGGAATTAAAGGAATACAGCCTTTTTCAGTCTAACCCCTGACTGCTGCATTTTCATCAAAACCTTTATAACCACAAACGGTACAAATGAGAAAGAACAGCTATGCCATACAATCGATTAGCATGGATGATAATTTTAAGGCGCTTTCCAGCATTTAGTCAAAAGAACAGCTATTCTATTGGACGCCTTCATAGCCTCATTCACTAGCTTCTCTCCACATAAAACACACTGGGTTTGGTGCATTAGCATCACCAGTGCCGATGAACATATATTTTATGCAGCTGTTGGTATGTTTTAGGTTGAACAATGCTTTTTCTTCTTGGTATCTTTTCTTTCTTGTACTCAACATTTTTTTTTCTGTTTTTCACAAATAAAACGTTAATGTCAGTTTCTTCATTTCTGACTTCATTACTCTGACTAGTCATCAACTAAATGCAACCAATAGTGATCTACTCAAACGCATGAGCCCATACAGAGACGTGATGTAGGGGATATGTTTAAAAGGTAACACTTTACAGAAGGGTAGTGTTCATAAGGCTACAAGACACCTACATAAGCCTTTCATGACAACTGACATAAACCTATGTGGACCATTCTACCAAACTAGTTCGAACTGGGTCCCACAGTAAAAACAATTAAGTATTCATATGTCTATTTAAGCTCCATGCATTAACTGAGCTAAATATATACAAAATCATCATTTAAACTTTCTATTGGGAGACAGCCGTCCCAAATAATACTTACATGTACCATATTGTCATGTCACTAAAGCACAAAGAGTTTTAGACCATGTATTGAGTCTTATTTTAGCCACACTCGTGCATGTTAGAACAGGAAGTGAGACTGCATCCCTGTCCCTCATGGCTTCATGGTGAACAGTTAGATCCCATTGTTTTGAAGTAAATGTGTCCCAAAGTCTGACCCAAATCAGTGTGTAAGATTAAGAACTACCTAAACAGTCACTACTGAAACATTTGGTAAGATTTTGGTAGTTTTATGATTGTTTTGGTAGTGACAAAATGGAATGTTGAATCATTTAATTTAATAAAATGAGCATAACTAAAGTATAGGGTCAGATGGAAGTCTGAAGTGCATTTCCAACTCTTACTTTGAACTATATGGAATAATCCATATTGACACTGATGAAAGTTATTCCAACCAATGTCATCCTAACACTTGCAGAGGTGCAATAACATCAAAATTGACAAAAGCAGCCTTGATACTTGTTGGAATAAGACCTTATAACTGTTTATGAAGGTTTATGTTTGAAACGCTTAGGTAGGTGTCATGTAGCCTCAAGAATACAGCCATTCAGTAAAGTAATACTGTTTAAAATTATGTAAAATTAGTTTATGAACACTTTAATGGCAAGAGCTAAGCCTTAAATAAAACAAATAATATTATAACCACATTAATTACAATCATAATAATAATAAAATTGTGAATTTCAGCAGTTATGCTACTATCTCCCCTGTATTCGCCACCATGTTGTGGCCGGGTATCAAACTATGGTTTGATATTTGATATTTGCTTTAAAATACTGAATAAGCTTATTGCACATGGGCTGATTTGGAGGCCTTGGAACTGGGAAACACTAAACAGTGCAGTGCTGCAGCCCTGCAGGACTGGAGTTTGACACTCAGTCTAAAGCTGTGGTGCTGACCTTTTCTATTAAACTATCTATTTACTTTAAGCTTTCTTGTCTATTCTTATCTTCACACTAAGCAGACTAGTGTATGTGTTTCTGTGATCTATGATTACACAAACAAAGAAAAAAAAGAAGTGCAAAAGAGTATTTTTCTTATTTTTCTGCATCAAGTTTATAAGCACTAGGGAGACAGGTTCACTGTATATTGTAGGTTTATGGCATATTAACCAGCACAGTGAGGTATTGAGAACTCAGTGTGTCCCGGCTTATTTCAATGAGAGGGGAGGGAGGAAAAAATGGAAAGGAAAAATTACCAACGTCATTGACCTGCTGCAGTGGTCAAAAAATCCCACAGTTCCTATGTCTGTAAAATATGCAACAACATAAAGAAAAAAAGCATACAGAGAAAGCCTTCATCACCATATTGCACACGGCAGCCTGCACGGACCCTCGCGGCAGGAAGGAAAATCTCATGCGTTAACTTGGTACAAAATGATCCTACGAAAACAACAACAGCAGCTCCCACAGACAGTACAGCACTGAGCGAGCAAACACACACATACACACGCGCACACGGATGAAACAGCGTGTGTATGTGTGTGAGAGAGAAAACATACATTCATTGATTCATTCATTCACAAATGGCCAATATGAAACAATGCAGATAAACAACAATGTCTAGACTTCACACATGATGAGCAGAGATGAAAGGAGGAGTTTAAAGCGGTTAAAAACCAATATGCAGAGGTCACATTCCATCAGGTTGGTGTGGGTTTGCTGGATGAAAACAAAAAAGTATGCAAAACAAAATCAAACCATGATTTTACATTTCCTGTGTGAGCCCAATGTTACAATGGATGAAAATACTTCCTGTTGGCCTAACATGAAATAACAGATGAGAACAGGTTGTGGAAAGAGTGTTTGTTTATTCATGATGCTTGAGGACAGACTAAGGTTCTGCTTGATGTTCGATCATTTATACTGTGTCTTTATTATCCTGTATTTTTTATGCAGTTCTTTGCAAAAGTGACCCTTTATTTAATTTCCAGTCAAAATAACTGTAATATCTGTAAGAACATTCTTTCACACCTTTGAAGTTCACAGTCACTAATGTTGAGGTCTGGACTCTGGGGTGGTCAGTCCATTGCAAATGTTCTTTTTTGTCTATTCCCTTTTCTCAGTAATGTCTTCTTGACAGCTGCACATCTTTTCAGACTCATTGTGCTGAGCTGTCCTCTCACAGTGGAAGGATGGACAGAAATGGATAGATTATTTTAGATCTGAAGCAAGAGCTGAGCTTGATTTTTGCCTCTCTCTAACAGATGAAAGTACTGTTCATCTGACGATCACTCCATTTTTTCACTTATTTTGCTATGACTTTCTCCTTCCTTATGCAAATGCATTACCTTATATCTTAATTTCTTTAGAAATATGTCATGAAAAGTGAAAACATTGTACTCAAAGGCCATTTTGACTGGAAATTGTATAAATGAAAGATGGTCTCTGACTTTTGCACAGTTTTAATAAAAGGAGTCTTGCGATACTCTCTGAATACAATTCATATTTTGTTTATTTATTACTTTCCAATCTATCATTCAGTCTTTTGTAGCCATCAAAAAAGGTCTAAAAACCAGCAATAACAACCAATAACAACTACCTGAAACTCAGAATGATCACTCGCTGTAATTAACTGAAAACTTCAGTAAAGCAAGTAAAAGTACTCAAACATTAGTGGGACCTTAGTACCTCTAGTACCTCTTTCCTTTCTGTAGGTTAGTTTTTTATCATTTTTTTTTAGGTTAATATTTGGTTGTATGTCCCTTCTTTTGGGGGACAGCTTGAAGTCTTCTAGGCATGAAGTGTATGAGTTTGCATAACTGATGCTCAACCAGGCTTGTTGGATTTTCTCAAGTTTATTGGAATTTCTCTATTTAGATTTTTGACAATTCAACCCAATTCAGAATGTTTTAGTGTTAATGCAATTAAATCTGTTGGACTGAAGACTAGTGTCCCAACATTTGTTTTAAAGCAAAGTAAAGGGTTAGGTGAAAGTTTTCTAGTTTGCTTTTGTGCAGCTGGACCCAACTTTTTTTAAACGATTGAATTTTCGTAATACTTTAACATATTACACAAAAAAGATGTACTAAGACTACTTTTGAGTAGTCTATATATTTACTACACACTACATATAGTACATTTTATTCATTATATATCAGTATAAGGAAATACTTTGGCAGTTCATAGCAATAGCTTAATCTGGACAAAAGCAATGGCAGTTCAGCTCTTGTCCCTTGTGTTCTAATTCAACTACAATCTGACTGCTTTCCCACAATGTGGCCTCTGCAACAGTACAGCCAAAACTCACTGACTCACACATACACACTCAAACACACAACAAACCAGATCTGTGAGTGGGAAGCATGCCAGCGAACTGCAAGTCCACTATTTAAACTTTATTTAAGACACACGAGTGCTGTCATTCCCTGGCTCTGCTAAAGCTAAACAGCTTCTACTCAAACAATTACTGTGGTTGGTGGAGTCAAAGGAGATGGTGACTAGGCAGGAACAGGAAGTTCAAATGAATTTCATTTAAGAATTCATTGGAGACCAACAATCATAGGAATGTTCCCAGAATTAAGAGACTTCCACATTTTTTCCCTCTAGTATGGGAGTGGAGGCCTGGAGTGACAATGTTACAGTTTGAATAAAGAGTGCACGGTTACAATGAAAGGCAAGTACACAAGTGGATCACTTTGCAATGCACATACGTGTCCAGTGATGGTTTATTTTCCTTTACGCACCTATAACATGCACTGAGGGTCAATACCAAACAAACCAACCCAAAACCTCCAAAATCCTCCGACACAGTAACACTGAGAACATAACAGTGAAATCTATCACTTGTAGTGGCCTGAAGCACCTGTGGGTTAAACAGTTCTACTAGGTGATAAAATGATAAATGCTGATTGGTTCTCTGGCAGAACTCTGCCAGTCTACTGGATAATAATTGACTTATATATCCCACATACAGGCTTTAAAATTACTTGATTAAAACATGTACATGTATATCGGTTTCACATGAATAAAATACATCAACACAATTCCTTCCAAAAGTAAGTAAAAAGAATGACCGTTATTGTGCTTATGTAATATATTTCATTTATGTGGAAACAATGTACATCTTCGACTCTAATCCTGAAATTCAGCTGTCACTCCAAGAACACAACTTTAGCTACTAAACTGTGAGTATAGTTAGGACAAGTCATTAAAACACAGATAAACACAGAAACCAGGTGAATGCTTACCTTTATCAGAGAGGTACACACAATCGCACCAGCGTTCACCATTGGATTATGGGGTTTATCTGTGGACAAACAAGCAAACAAACAATGTTACATGTTAGGATAGTGATCAATAGGAACTCATGAATTCATACAGAAAACATCACTGGACTTTAAAATTGAGCAAATTTATTTATCATAGTAAACTGACTGATTTTTCTTTTACTTAGGATTGAGATAATCTTTCTGCTAATAGCAAAAATCTTTATGTTTTGCACTTATGGTTTAGTTCGTTCGGGAACCCCCGCAGACACAAGGAGAACAAACAAACTCCACACAGAAAGGACTCTGGTCGCCTAAGCAGGGAATCAAACCCAGGCCCTTCTTGCTGTGAGGTGACAGCGCTACTCATAGCACCACCGTGATGCAAAAAGACACCAGAAACTGCAAAATATTCAGACATGAAAATCATACGTATGGATAGTTTGGATATACACGGATGTTTCTGGAAATTCTGCTGTGTTACAAGCTCAAAAAACAAGGAAATGGTGTCTTTAAGTGCAAAAAACTATCCTTTGCTCCTCAGAAAACAGGCGAAACGTGACACTGGGTGGGCTGGAAAAATTAAAGAAACATGGAGAGTTTCAACTGTCTCATTTAGGTGATAAAATTTCATGAGTGTGCACACAGCTGGGGCGTCTTAACTTAGCCTGAGCAAGACATGCAAGTTATGCAAGACATCAATAATTATGCAAGCATCACATGTTCAAATTAATATTTCTATACTAAATAATTTTAGACCAATTTCAATTTTCTAAGCAAAGTCTTAGAAAAAGTTGTTTTCAAACAACTAAACGGGTATCTAATATCAAACAATTTATATGAGAAGTTTCAGTCAGGTTTTCGTTCTAACCATAATACAGAGACAGCATTGATTCGTGTTATGAATGACCTCAGGCTTAGTGCTGATGCACAAAATCCTTCTATTTTGGTTTTATTAGATTTAAGTGCAGCCTTTGACACTGTTGACCCCAAGATTTTAATCCAGCGTCTTGAATGCTGGGTCGGCCTCTCGGGCACAGTTTTAGAATGGTTTAAATCATATTTAAGTAATAAGCCATTCATGGTTTTACTTGGAAATCATTCATCAAAAAGATTTGCCATTTCTTGTGGAGTCCCTCAAGGTTCAGTCTTAGGGCTTTGCTTTTCTCTTTGTACATGCTACCTCTAGGTGATGTCATTAGGAAGCATAGTATACATTTTCATAGCTATGCTGACGACACCCAGCTAAACATTTCTATCCCTTCTGAAGATCAACACTCTGTAGACAGACTAACCAGCTGTGTGTGAGATATTTCTCAGTGGATGTCACAATATTTTCTACAATTAAATCATGAATAAACTGAAATATTGATCACTGGTATAGAAACTCAGAGAAAAATGATTTATGAGAAACTTGGTTCTTTAGCTTCATCTACCAAACCTGAAGTACAAAACCTGGGTGTGATCTTAGACTCTGAGCTCTGTTTTATCCTGCATGTAAACACAGTCACTAAAGTAGCTTTTTATCATTTGAGAAATATCACTAAAGTTCGGCCTTTTCTATCTCAGAGCGACGCAGAGAAACTTGTTCATGCATTTGTTACAAGCAGACTTGACTACCGTAATGCTCTTCTTACTGGACTCCCTAAGAAAACTATACATCCCTTACAACTCATACAAAATGCAGCAGCACAGATCCTAACAAAAACAAAAAAGAGAGATTACATCACTCCCGTTTTGAAAGAACTGCACTGGCTGCCTGTATCATTCAGGATAGATTTCAAGGTTCTGCTATTAGTCTTTAAAGCTCAAAATAACCTAGCACCTGCTTACATCACAGAGTGTCTGTCTGTTTATGTTCTGGCACGTAATCTAAGATCTGCAGATAGTGGCCTTCTACAGTTACCCTCTGTAAAATACAGAAAACATGGAGAGACTCGTTCAGTTATTCTGCTTCTAAACTGTGAAACTCAATTCCACCTTTTATTAGACAGTCAGGCTCAGTGCTCACTTTTAAGAAGCATCTAAAAACGCATCTCTTTAAGTTAGCGTTTAATTAAAACTCTGCGTCTTGTGGTGTTTATCTTTTAATTTGATCTTTTTCTGATTCTAAATAAATACCAACGATTTCTTGTATAATTATGTTTTATCACCTGTCTATAAAGCATTTGGAGCTGCCATTGGCATGAAAAGTGCTATATAAATAAATATTATTATTATTATTATTAAAAGTAAAAAAAAATTATGTGAATAAGACACGCTCTGTGAGTAAAGGCCTTTCTCCACAAAAGATGGTAAACAAAACTCAGGGGCGGTTCAGTTACAGTTTGAAATTCAATATACTATTTCAAACATTTATTTTGTCGATTGTCTGATGTATGTGCTAATTGTACATCATTTCCTCTTACTTGGATGTGTAAAGGAGTGGAACAGAAGCTTTTATTCTGATTAAACACTACTCAGAGTGAGCCAGTGGACTCAGCATAATGTACTTAGCATAATGTAAATCTATTGTCAAGCGTAATGAGTGAAAACAAGTAAGGTTTTGTATAATGGTTCATCGTAAAAGAGTCCAACTCGTGGCTTTACATGGGAAAAAGTCATACTCATACATTATGTTGCAAACTTCCTACAGAAGGTGACCAAAATCAGAGGACTGAGAGCAAGTTAATGCTCATATGGGTCCTTCCTTAGATTCATTAACCGACACATGCACCCTGAGGACGGGTTGTGTTTTGGAAGATTTTAAACTACAAGGCCAAAGGAAGAGAAGTAGCAGAACATCATCAGTGTGGAATTACAGCTCACACCGGCTTCCTCTCCGCTCTACTGATAGTATCAGAGTTCCTCAGCCATTGCATCACTTCCTGTCACTGATGCCTGCTTTGTGGAAGCAGATTTGCTGCTTCCTCTGTCAGCTAACCTAACTTACAGCCCATATTCATCAAACTTCTCCGAGCACAAGTGCTGATGGAAGATCGTTTTGTACAGTTTACCCTCAAATGAACTACTATGTTTATACCAGTTCCGCTAACTTAAACACGTTAAGGACTGGAACAGAAGATTTCATTCAGGATCAACACTACTCAGGGTAGAGCCACATAACGCTCAGAACGATCAGAACATAATTCTATTAAGGTTTTGCATCACAGCTCTTAGTAGAAAGATTGTCTTGGAAAAAATCACCTTCATGGAAAAAGTCATTGTTGTGACATTTTGTTGCAAACTTGAAAATGAGCAAATTCAACGTGAAGCAACATTTTATGAATCAAAACCAAAAATGATGGTCATTAACATTAACAGAACAATGAGGAGGAGAGTCCTGCCCAGCAGGAAGTTTATTTATTCTCAGTGTCTATGGGACACTTCCCCGTCCTTTCACAGTACTGTAAAAGCCAGCTTCCTAATTCTTGAGCTGCTTTTTTTAGACGTCATCAGAGGCCAGCACAGTGTTACACCACTGCCTTCATAAATGCACCATTTATCACGCAGCATTATTATGGGCTGGATCTCAGAGCCACCAAAATATATCTATGTTGCTACGGCTGTGGAAATGGCAGTCTACATGGACAGCAACACAGCCAAGGTCCTAAGGGTAGGCAATACACCACAATATGGTTTTCTGGGCATAATGAGGTTATTGTTTCTATATAAAGAACAACGGCAGGTTTCAACAAAACAGGTTCAACAGCAAAGTAGTGTACTTTGTATAATTTTTGACAGCATTTTTTAAGATGCAGCATTATGGATGCACTGTGATTGTTCCAACTCATCATACCTCAGAAAAACAAAACATTGTGATGTCAAATTTGATGAGTTAATAATGGTAAATGATTGACATCCTTAACTCATTTTCCAAGTTTGACTCATCAAACCATCCGCAGTCCCACCTTGAAAGCCCCATCAGCACTGTTTAAAATATTTAAATTTTTGTTTTAATAGTAAAGATGTGAAGCAGAAAAAAGTGTTTTCCAGTATTATTTTCAACAAACATATATAAAGTAAAAAACTTTAATAGCAGATAAACGCTCCAAAGGTTCTGAGCTGCTGCCCGATCTGTGTGGGTGATCACATTTTGCAGCTAATGTTTCAGAACTCTGGCTTTCATTTTATGATGGGTAGATCACAAACATATCGTGTCTGAGATTTAAACGCTTAGCAGCACTAACGTTATATCCATAACGTATAGCTAGCTAGATTATATAACTGCTGGTGCTTCAGGTCACATAAGCTCCTGTTATGAGTCGGCATGGTCATATTTGCGGACATGGTGAAGAAATTTCTTGTATGCACACTGCACAATTGTGGGGAAACACTGTGAGCTATGTTAATGTTAATGCTAAAAACTGCAGCCCACTCATTCAAATACATCCTTTAAATGGCAAGTTCCACTGACGGCTCTCTTGATAAAACCAGTTATTTTTAGCTACTTCAATGACATGAACTTGTTTATCTTTGAAGTGCACTGACTCTCAAATATCATTTATAAGCAAAACACACTGCTGAACCTGGCAGACTAGACTGGGAAGTGCCTGTGGAATATCTGGGTATAATCAAACAGCAAACTATTAAAAACAAAAGTCCAAACTAGAAAAACTAGTCCCTTCGAAACAAGGCTGCATGAGAGCGCTAGAGCTGCAATCGCGGAAGAGTTGGAACATGCAGCCACTGTTGCTTTCACTCAACGTCAGTGATGAAATCCAGAAACTGTGTTCACCCTTTTTTCATGCTCTGCATTTGTAATTTTCATGTTCAGGCTCCTGTGAACCCAGTGTTCATTTGATGAAAATAATGTTACTGAATTACTGAAGGGAATAAAAACATTCTGATGAAGCATATTTTGTCCATTCATATAGCCATAACAAAATGCACTGCTTTTTAAACCATAAATAATTTTTTAAATCTCTCTTTAGGGTAAAATTTCAGCAAATAAGACAGCGAGTAACCACAATTAACTACACAAAATAATGTGACTAATTGTAACAATTTTTTTTAGCGTTTTACCATCCTAATCATGAAAATTGTATATAATAAAAGTGTTTTTTTTATGTTCATAATGTTTCATTTTTGCTATAAAGCCCACCCATATGAGGTCCTAGAGCGAATTTCATCTGGGACACACTGATTCATCCTTGTAACGGTATTCGTCAGTATGAAACAAGATGAAAGCCAGTAACACACTCACACGGTCATAAAAGTTTCAAGATGGCCAAGATGACTTCTGATTTATGAGTGGGCTACCTCATATTCTCAGAGATACTACGTGGGTGAAATAGCACAGCAGAAACAAGCTAGCAGGGAGTAATATGGCTAGGGGGCCTCAAGGCTTCTCACCCCTGTAAGTGCCACAGAGGGTGTTGTGATATCAAGACAGCAAAAATGCATGATCTGAATTTCAGAGACGGCCATAGCCGCTCGACTAAAGTGTAACGTGATTTATGCTGTGCTTTCTTCAGCTAATGGGAATCCTACATCCCTGCGGTAGGTCTTCCAATGAAGACTGGAGCTCTAATACGTAAATGCACCTTTAATAGAAAGACTTAAGCTTAAGATTTCCTAACAATCTGACACCAACAGCAGAGAAACTAAGAACTACATGAGTCCCATAATATTCTTTTTCAATAGGTCAAAAGATAAAGGATGAAAAAACTACTGCATATTTTGGAGCGGAGGTTAATGATTTGAATCTTGATATATTAGTGGAATGGCGTTTGAGCTAACAGCTAAGGCTAAACTCAGCCTGTGGTGGATGGGTGCCATGAAGAGGCTCAAAAGCGGCTAATCCTCACCGTCCTCGTTCAGAAAGAGTTTGTTGAAGCGTAAGCCACTGGGCTCTTTGCCGATGAAGCGGTGCACGTACTCCATGCTATGGTCATGCACAGCGATGGCGTACTTTAGCGGCTTCACGCACGACTGCAGACAGAACGGCACTTTGGTGTCGCCCACAGTGTGTCTGTGTGGGAAAAAGAGAGAGAGGAAGAGAGATCTGAGAGAAAGGACAACTGATAACCAAACATCATATACAGTCTACTGGAGGTCATTTACCAAAATGCAATCAAATCAATAACATTATGTAACATGGGATGATGAAACCTTTAGTCTTTAGACTTTACAGTACAGTAGCCAGTACAGTGGTTACCTTTTACTGTTCATAAGAAAAAACAACTCTTCCAGTAAGAACTTTTGGTAACACTTAAAGGAATACTGGGGGTTCATTAAGGTCTAGATCTTTGTTCAATAATATTAGACACCTATAAATGGTTTATTCACTATGCAATAAACTTTATTCACTGTGGTCTGTATTAGTGTGTAATTGGAGGTCTGTTATGTAAATATCAGTGATACCTGCATTGTTAGCTGTAATAATGCACAATAAACACTTTGTTAAGACACTGTAAGGCAAACTACTGAGTATGAATGAATCACCTAAATACACACCTTATTAGTGGATAACTGGCAGCATTTTATTATTCCTACAGGTTCAAGGAAGTATCAAGTGACTCAATTAGAGCTAATAAGGGTTTAATAATTCACTAATACTTCAAGATGTTCCAGATTAAAAAGAAGAGTTTTTGTCATCACTAAGTTGCCAGCTAAACATCTCAGAACTCAATACTATTCATGATATTTTGATTGCCATAAAACATTGAAAACTCTTCAGAGTTTCATATATGCACATTTGGTTGTTAAATGGGTTAAAACTAACATAAAATATTCTCATTTTATATAATTTTGGCTACCAAAAAGGGATTAAATACATAAGTAAACGTTTTTGTGCACTATGATAAATAATAATGCTATTATTACTGATTTTCACATAGCAGATCCAATTATGTACTAATACAGGTCATAATGACTAAAGCTAAATGTATAGTGAATAAAGCATTTAGAAGTGTGTAATTTAAGCTTTACTGAACAAATAAAATCTTAATGAACACTTTTAATAGTAAAACCTCTAAACTATACCAAAACATGTATTCTATTCAAGCCTGTTAAAGAATACAACAGCCAAATCTCTGTACTACCATGATAGAAAACAGGCCACGCGTTTCTTTTTATCAGACTGTAGTCATGCAAGTTAAGACTGACCCTTAAAAACACACACAATAAAAAAAGTTAATTTTTGAGTGTGTGTATTCAGAGCCAGGTTCATGGTACACATTATGTAAATAAGAGAATGTAGATTATAGAAAACATACACTGCAGTTGAACTGATAAGGACTGTAAACTACTTAGTTAAAGCACTATCAGCACGTCAAACAGACCCTGAACAACAACAAGGGGGCCACAGGATCTCTCTATCTGTCTGACCTCAATATTATATATCTCACTTTATCATGAGTTTAAGATATAATGAGTCAAGGCCATCAGTTTCCTGTCGACTCCAGCGCTTTGTTCTCAGGCTTTGTCAAAAGCGGTTTGTTGTGTAGGCCCACATGGTGCTTTGTTAAACAGTATCAACATGTAGATGCAAGCATGGTAGCTGGCGCTTATATTTACACTGTTCAGCTGATCAGGGTCCTTCTAGCAGCAAGAAAAATGCTATAATTAACTAAGCTTAACAAAAGAAAAGACAAGTAAAGCAGTGAAATTAAAATTCTTGACCAAAATTAAAACTAACATTTAGGACACACTCAGTCGAAAACCAGAAACCCAAAGAAAGGGTTTTTACCTAAAATTTGCCATTTTATTTATGCTTTTCAATGAACGTAATAGTGCTGACAGAGCTTCAAAGTTGATAATCACTATGCTGCAAAAGAGAACTGAAAGAACCAGAGGACCTCCTTAATTTTCAACAGTTTGCTAAATAATGTTAAAAGTTGTGAAATTATGAAAATGTGATACTTCACGGTTTCTCACAGGCATTGAAAGCTGAATTACAGAGCAACTCTGCTATACAATGGAAAACACCTCGTTTTTAATATGTAAAGCACGCAGACATGGCTTTGGAACTCCTGCCCAGCAGTATGAAGTTTCTCCAGCAAGGGGGGATTTATACACGCAAGTTGCTTTAATCCTCGGAATTTAGAGAAAACGACCATGTCGTCTTCTTTCATTGCTCCAAGGTCCAGTTACAACACTTGTGTGCCTTTTGTAGGTGTTTTCGATGGTGAACAGACATTAGCTTGGGCACTCTGACCGGTCTGTGGCTACACAGACCCATTTTAGCAGGGGGCACTGCATGTTGTGACACATTCTTCCCACAACCATCATTAAAATTTTCTGTGACTTGTGCCACAAAAGCCCTTCTACTTGGCTACCCAACACCCCGTTGCTGGTTTGTCCCTCTTTGGACTGCTGTCGGTAGGTGCTCACCACTGCTGAATGTCCCACAAGCCTTGCTGTTTCAGAGATGCACTGACCCAGTGGTCACAACGATTTGGCCCTCGTCAAAGTCGCTCAGGCCTTCACACCCATTTTACCCATATCCAACATGAGACTACGAGAAACGACTGTCCACTGACCATCTAATATATCCCAGACTTACATGCATTGTTGTTAGGAGATAATATACGTTATTCACTTTATCTGTCATAATGTTTTTGCTCATTGGTGTAAATTACTAGAATGCTGGCATGTCATACACACTGAAATGAAAAAATAGGGCCCTTAGCAGAACCTGAAAAACGACCAAAACAAGAAGAGAACACTTCAAATAATAACATGTTTTTCTAAGCTTGGCTGTTTACCCACCCATAGTAAGAGTCTTTATTCCTTTATGAGCAGGGTGTTGTTAAATGCGCCAATCTTACAAATATACACTATCTTTACTGCCTATGTGACAAAAGCAAGAGGATCTATTGATGCGGCAAGGAGTACCATGAAAATCGACCCTGCCTGAGGTTTTATGGCACTGTTATCAATTACAGAAGCAGCTAGAGAGTATTTCACATCCCTAAAACACAATTCAATGACTGGTCCAACCCAGAGAGAACTGGAGCATTACTCTAATCTAATCTGTGTCCAATGGTCTTGTGACCATTTAATGACAGGTGACTCAAACCATAACACTACAAGTATTTTCAATAGTGTCATGTTTCTCTGGTTGGCTACTTGCTAGCCTTAATCTGATCACATTTCACCTCCTCCTGGAAGAAGCAAGAAGGCAGGCATAACATTTTGAACTTCTGGAAAACATTCTGGAAAAAGAAACTAAAAAACCCTGTAAAAATTTCTCATCAGCGGAAGATATAGACACATTCAGTGAAACACTTCACTTCCGCAGGAAGTTCTCTGGAAGCAGGTCATACAAAGTTCACTTCATTCTTGCATTCGTGCAGTACAGCTTTGTCACTGATGAATAGCTGAAACAAGCCTACTAGCTGGCTAATGCTCAATGCAGATGTTGGCATGACCATAGCACATTACAGAGTTCCCAAAGCTTTAAAATCTGTTTGTCATTCATTCGTTTATTAATCAGTCTACTCACCTGGATTTGTAATCTGGGTTTAATCTATTACAGTAATATTAAGATACTGAGTGGTGTTTTTTTGTTATTTATTTCTGGGCACTGCGCTAGCTTAGAGCCTTAATAGTCCTACATTTTTTTTTTCCTTCACAAGTTTGAGGTCTACAGTAGCTGCAGATGTTAATGTACCATTTCAAATGAGTTCTTACCTTTGTCCGTCCACTGTGCACAAAGACACAGCCCACAAATCCGGGCTGAATTTAGCAAGCTGAGGAATGTAGTCAGCAACCTGAGAGAAGCAAAGCACAAGTCGCTCAGTTTCACAATCACAGTCCTTTAACAACATGCAAGTACTAGCAGAGAGAAATAATGAATGCTGGATGAAGTTAGTGAGCACACAGCATGAGTCTTACCTGACCTCCAGACATATTTTTGGCTTTGTCATAAAGCTTGTCAATGTGGGCGGCAAAAGACATGAAATCGGGGATGACAAACTTCTTCCGAAAGGCTTGGGTCAGCAGCACTATGTTGCTCTGGACACACCTAGGGAAAATACAACGTAGTAAAAAAAGCAGGACCACAGAACGGCACCAAAACTCAGGCAGCTAAGAGCGGCTGCTTAGCCATAAAACACCAACTTTTTTCTGTTGTTATTTCAATGAAAACTCAAATAGAAATGGTTTAAACTGGAAAATCAACCATCATGTGAATAAAGTGTTTTTTTTTACATATGATTGATTATAAGCCCACAGCACTGCCAAAAGCTCTAGATACATCACTTGATTAATCACTGCTCAGTTGTAGTTACTGAGTACAGCATGAAGCCAAAAAAAATCAAGCAGACTTTTCCTTCCAGCTGCATGCATTTGCATTCTTCCTGCAGCAGAAGCCACAGGATCTTGCCAGGAACTTTGGAGCTAGACAGCCATTTTAAAGGAATTCTAATTGAAACAGCTACAAAAATGCCAGAGCACGAATCAGCATCTGTTCACCCTGGCAGCAAATCTGAAAGTGTTCATAAACAAACTGAAAACACCTTGGAAAACTGCATAATTAAGAGCAGATCACAGGGAAACTAAAGTAGGGCAAAAGAAGTATGGAGCAAGGAGGAAGGGCCATGTTTACCAAAAGCAACCCGCTGTTACGATTAACTAAATGAAACGATTCAGAAAGATTCTCACACCTCACAACAACATTCTTTGTGCTCTGACGTTTTGGCTGAGAACAGGCCCTCCACCATTCACCTCCTGTGCACAAATACAAACAGGAAGTCAAGCCTGGCAAAGCTACAAGCCAGCACAGTCATGCAGAAACCTAGTGTGATTTGGGGGAATGCATTATGGCTGGATGAGAAATGGAGGAGCTGAGTCCAGGCTCATCTCCACTGATCTCTGAGCAGACAGGTGAGCTAAAATTAGCTGTGCAGGGAGCTGGCCCCCAGATGAATGTAGATGTCTGTACAGACGCCGCTTGCTGGTGATGGATCATCATTTGCTCCCAGGGAAGGAAGAAAAGCCACAGGGAGAGCAGGGAACAGATGGTCAGCCTCACACAGCGGCCCTGTCTGTACATACACCATCTCCTCTCCTTCTTGCTCACTATCGCTGTACCAACCCACCCCCATCTCCCGGTCCCTACTCCCTATAGTGCACCACATAGGTCATAAAATAATGACTTCTACACCCAAATGGCTCATATCTCCACTACATAGCCAATAGGGAGGCATTTAGGATTCAGCCTCTCTCTCTCTCCAGCTCTCCTCCACTGCACCAACAACCGCCTAGTATCTTTCTCTCTCTCTCATTCCCACAGGTGGGAACAATCAATCATTTTTCTATCGTAATTTTATATAGCAATTTGTAAGATAGCAAGAGAAGCAAATTTAATTATGATTGACATCATTCAAAGTTGTCTCAGTAAGTTTCCTGTCTGGCACACTTGAGTGAAAATAGAAACAATTTTGGTAAAATATTAATCAAGAAAATGTTTTATTTCCACTTTTATTTCAATCTGAGTAAAAGTACAGATAAACCTGCTTTTAATTGTACTCAAGTAACAAACTAAAAGCAGTATGATTTTTTATATTATTTAGATTAATAGTTTTATTAGTTGTTTATTATTTTTAGCAAAAAGAAATACAACACAAAAACTAAGGGGTTGGTTACTGTCACTTTTTTTCGATACCAACACCAATACAAGTTTATGAACAATACTTTTTTGTTTTTGGATACCTTTTTTAAATTAGAATCTGAAAGTGGGTGTGGCTAAAACTAGAAATGAGTGTGAGGTGCTGAAAGGTATAACAGGCTGCAGACTAATCAAGAAGCACTGACATTAATAACATGCTTAAAGCATACAAATTAGACAGCCAATCAGTAGGCAAGATTTAGAACAAGCGTGGGTACTGGCTCACTGATTATGTAGGTATTAAAACACAATTTTTGATACTTGGTAGTACTGAAGTAATTCAGTCAGTCCAGAGTGCTTTAACTTATTACTTAAGTATATTTAAAAGCAAGTACTTTTATACTTTAACTCAAGTAGACAGGATACTGCTACTTTCGCGCAAGAACTATTTTACCCAAAGTGTCTCTACTACGCTCAAGTACAGAAGTTTTGTCCACCACTAAAAATAATATAACATGATACCTCAAGCCTTTTAGCGATACAGAACATGACATTTTTTGGGTCTGATAAGTTGGAACAGAACCAATGCCTCAGTAGTGCCGCGTTTAAAAATGCTTAAAACAGTACACCGTATAATTATTATTTTTTGTATTCAGTGTTTCACAAACTGCACTGCATTATTTCAAGTTAAGCGGGGCCAACTACACTCTCTTAAACTGGGATTAATTAATATATATGATATGCTCCAAAACCTTGTTCTGCATAATTTGTTGTGATAACATTAACATATCATCATATCACCAGTCCTGCTCTTTTCTCCTCCTCTCATTTTCACTACCTATATTCAAACCTCTCTCTCTCTATATTTTGTCCTCTCCTTCCTCTCTCCCTTCCCCCATTAAGTTTCTTCTTGTACTCCATAAATTACCAACCTAACACCAGCAGACATCCGGAGCACAATTTCACAGTCTCTAATAAGACCGTCAGTGCTGGTTCATCAAGTCACAGCAGTAAATATGACACTGTTCAGGGAGAGAGAGGCTGAGAAGCAGACAAGCAGAGATCCATCAGGCTGCTTAAGGGAACAAGGTGTTATCAGCTGTATGTGGTTTGGGAGACGGTACAGCCTGGGTACGGTGATGTATGGGGTTTGTTCATGCAGAACTAAGTGGTTCCCTGCACAGGAGAACTAGCTATAAATAAGATTCATAGTAGGGATGTGTGCATGCATTCGAGGGCTTGTTAACTGTTCCAGGTGCCAGCACTGAAATACTAAAATCATAAAGGGTAGAAAAAAGGATCAGATTGTAGATGCATCATGATTCTTTCTCAAAAGCCAGAACTGATTCAGAAAATGTCATAATCAGGCTTTTATATAGGATCTACGTTACTGTAAAATAAACTCACACACAGTGACGTTATAAAGTATGATAGTTTGACACATCCTGGCTTGGTATCACAATACTTATACACACAGAAAAAAAGCACTAATAGTTTAAAAACATTCAAAAACTGCAATGAAAAACTCTAAGCACAATCATTCAATTCAGTTCTACCTTTTACATATAGTACTGCACAAAATCGAGTTCAACAGGACTAATTATGCTGTCTTTTTAATGAAACGTGCAGTCAGTCAATGCTCTTTAAATATGGAGGATATTCACAATAAGCTCAAAAAATGATATTACTTATTACAATATTTTGCCATATTGTCTAATGTAGGCTATAAAAATTGTGAATCATTTTATGATCGTATCTTGGCACCTCGAACTGAAACTGAATCGAATCGTAAGACGCCCAGTCACCTAATCATTACTCTGATATCTGTTACGCTGCATCACAAAAAGTGATGGGAAAATATGCAGGCCAACAAATAAATGAAGTGCCTTATGTTTTAACAAGGCTGTGCAGTTAAACCGTTTTGCTCTGAACAGTGTTTGTTATTAAGTAGGTATAACATGCTTTAACAGGAGCACGCTGTCAAGGACGCACTGTTAGGGACTTAACTGAGAAAGCAGAGGTAGTACAGCTGTAACTAGACTAATTACTCTAGTTGGCTTTACCCAGAACTAAAAACAATGAAAAGACTGTCTGTTCTCAACGTTGCCATGACTAACTATCCACTGAGGAGAAAAGAATTGTGTAGAAGACCATGAATCAGCGTCATGCACCGCTAAAGTGTTAGTGTTAACTCACTGGCTCATCTGAAGAGGCAGCCTCTGTTATTCAGCTTTAACAGACATGAACGTGCACCGGTTTTTCATACATTAATATCAGCTGAAGCACTTTTTTCTTTTTGTGGTTAACCAAATACCTGTTCATTAAAGTTTACTGATACTCAAATATCAAAATTATGCAAAATGCACATCCCTAGTGCCTAAGGCTGGCCTGTAAACACAGCCGTCATACTCTGTGTATGTGTGATTATGTGTACTTTGTATTAGCGCATGCACAGCACAGACGGTTTGCATATCTGATCCACCGCCTCATCTAATAGTCTAGACTAGAGGGAATGTTCACACAGAGCATCTGTTTCACATGGGAACACAGTGAGACTAAAAGGTCTGGTTATGTCACAGCAGCACAACATACAGGCCTGCGTAGATCAGACAGGCTTACAATAGTCTAATTAAGATAAATAAAGTGAAAAAGATACTCGTTCTCCCCTCATCTGATATAGGCTTATATTATCATATCAGTCTGCAGAGTGAACATGAACTGTATCTACACTTGCATCACCATGGTAACTAGCTTTCCTGAGCCAACAGCATAGCCCACGTAATCAGGGGAGCATCTGCCCAAGTACAATTACTTCATTGCTTCATTGCAGTTACTGCACTTCTATAGCTGCTCAGGCAAAGCAGCAATTCTCCTTACCTCACCTTTAACCCTTTAGCAGAGCAGGTAAGTCATGTCAACATATAGCTAAATATATTTTTGTTATTGTCAGCAAAATATTTGAACACTTGTACACTGTCATTGCAGTTTGAAGTAACAGTGAGAGGTATAATTTATATACTGTAATACCTAATAGTAATAGTAAATCTATTTTTGTATGTTAACAATGGATTATTATCGTTAGATGCCCCTTCCATTTTAATAAGATCCATTTTAAACAACAAAAGTAAATCTGAAATATTTTTATTGCGCAAAATAGTAAAAACAAAACTGAACAATATATAGATAAACCTATGTCAATAGTGCTTTCTAACACTTGCCCTGTGGGCCTGACAAAAACGTGTGAAATGTTATTTTGTGTCTGAATTTCTACAAGGCTAAAGTTGGCTTCTTATTCGGCAGCTTTTCACTTAAATTTTCTAATCCACCTTAATTGTGGTAGCAGGTACATGGGACCTGTAAAGGTGCCTGATGGAAACTGCTGCACCATTTCTTGCCTCATACGTGAGTCCCATATACTCGTTCTGGAATTTGGATAATACAGCTATCAGTACCAGCTGGTCTACGGCTTGTTTTCAGCACAAGGCCCCAACTACTATGTCGACTAATGCAGCTGACCGTTAGGTGGGGCACCAGGTGGTATGAGGGGAAACAAGTATGGCAATTGGCCTGGTGTCCACATTAGGCTAAGACCAACCCTGAATAACTGGCCATTTTTTTTTTTTATGTTCACTGTCTCGAGAACAAGTGCACTACTCAAAGTGGACTACTTCAGATGTAACGGACACAACAGCAGGAGGTGATTGAGAGACTGTTATTTGTTGTTTTTCAAAACATCCCTGACTCTAGCTAACGACTGTATGCTAAGTGTACGAGAGACGGTCTGTATGTTGAGTAATCGGTGCATATTTGTGGCATAGCAGTATAAAGTTGAGACAAAATTTTAAAACGGGGGAGAAATGTTATGCTATATACCTGATGAACCTGTATATGGCCACTACTAGTCTGAAGATCAGTTTGTTTTAGATATAAGGTATGTAAGACCATTTTGCAAAGAACCAATGCATGTAACCTTAGATGTCACAGATACTGCAGTTATAACATTGTTCATCATTAATCAGTATTAGTCTCACTCACAGCACATTAAACAGTGAAGAAATTCTGTAGAATGTGTGGATTCTACATTTCAACCTACACCAAGTAAAAGAGGAGATATTTTATTATGATTTGAATTTGATGGAAAGTTAATGTTAATGCATGCAGCCTTTGCAGTTTTGCTAGGAGAAAATATATCCTTTGCATTTTTGCAATGTTTCTGGTATGTTTTGAAATTGAAAAAGAATAAAAAATATATCAAACATGTTGATATCGAATGCAAACTCAATGTCAATGTAAATGGAATTCACTGTACGTCTTATGTCATTAAATATGTAATTACAAAATTACATTTGAACAGAATAGCAAAATGAAACCAGTAGCTCTCAGCTTGCAAGGGCTAAGTTTTAATTTTCTGGACATATGCAGACAGAAGAACAACTACAGCTCTATTCACAAAGTGCTGACTCACTTCTTGAACAGATGGCGGTCCAGCATCACCCCATCTGACGTGGTCTTTAGGGTTACTTTCAGCATGTCCATACATTCCTTCAGTCGGGGGTCTCCTGTTCGCAGTCCAGTGGCCTTCAGTGCCTGTACACACACACACAAATACAATTTATGTTGTGACATAATCACCCTTACAAAGCATATACACGAACAGAACAAATATTGCAAAGGTGTAACGTTTCCTCAAGATAACAGGCCTAATATCAGTCCAATAAACACAAATAAACACTGCAGCTTTTATAATATTCTATGCAGTCCTATTAACAACAGAGTGTCAAGGCCTGATACAGCGCAATGTACATAGCTTTAAATAAGACAACCTGTTAAGATAAGATAACCCAAGCGTAACTAAACATGGCCCAATGCCTGTACTACAAACTGTGGACCATGAACAGGAAGCTTTCTGAACAGCATAATGCTGCCTCTCAGTTTCCATAATTGGAAACTCCCAAGTACACTATGTACCATACCACTGGATGACACTGGGAGTGTACAAACACAGTCAATAAAAACACAACCGGTTATATGCTGTCGACCTTTACATGCCCTCCACCTTGTCAGGGCTGAAAGATTAATTTAAACTGCAACCACATCTGCAAAAGTGAAACTAACTTGAATACACAGCAAATAAACACCATACAAAACGTAGCCAAGGTTAGGATACTGAAGGACACTTACTTCATTCATGCACAACAGCGCATGATCAACTACATTAACTCTACTGTTAGTTTCTCCTGAATGCACAAGGCTCATCAGGGGCCGAACACTTTTTTCTCTAATACAGTCTGATATGATGAAAGACTAAAGCACCGAACTATTAGAGCACAAGTTTTCTATGTGCCAGAAACTGTTTGTGTCGCTTGTATCATGGAAGTACCTGTGTAATGTCACTCGACGTACCCTGAGGGTATGCGTACCACAGTTTGGGAAACACCTGCCTAAATGATCAAAAACGCTGTTGAACTACTTGTAGAGGGAGTCTACATTCAGCATTCAATCCTCAGGCCAGAAAAAGTGGATATTCTAATCTTCTTGGTCTGGACTTTGATTTATAGACATTTGCAGTCACAGTATTGGTCAGAAAATTAGATGTTTTCTCCAAATAGTTCAGCCTGCTCATTGTGTATGTACTTGTGTATACAGGGATAATGAACAGGGCTGTTACCGTGATAAATTTGTGGGCTGGGATCCTCTCCTGGCCTTCAGCAATGGTGTAGAAGAGCAGGTCCTCCAGGCTCGGCAGGATACCCGCCTTTCTTCTCCTGATACACAAACACAGAGTATCGAGACATATTATTGAGATGTGCACTGCTTCACAACAGATTTATTTGTCTCACACAAACACAGTGGCATATGAACGCAGAGGTATGTTACAGTATCAGGATGAACAATAAGAGGATATAGCCCAGTAGGTTGGGTCAGCTGTGAGTAATGCATCTTAACATTGTCACAGTGTCTTAGACCAGCAAGGAGGGACGGGAGTTCTTCTGTTCTTCACTATCAATCACTTACATGTGTCTAATTTCTGTATGCTTGTTTCGTTTGTGTTTAAAGGAGCAGCACGAATGACTATCATTTAAATTTAACTGGCAGTGATTTATTCTATTTATTCTATTCACCCTAATAGTCATGTCTTAATCTCAGTATGCATATCGTCAGTCATTAGCCAACATGTATGATGGTCATTAACAGGGATGCACCGATATGGGAATTCTGAGCTGATGCCGATATCTAATTCATTTCTTGCACATACTTCTCAAAGCCAATGCTGATGTCAATACAAATGTGTTTATGAAATGTATAAAATAAAGGGCCCAGATAATAGAAAACTGATTTTATCTCACTTGTTTAATAAAAGTATGTAGTATCTAGTATGTAATCAATACTAAAGTTTTCAAACGTATTAATCACACCGCTGGCCATACAGTACATATATGGAAACTAGGTCACAAAAACAGCCACTTTTGAACTCCTTTCGTATTTACATAATCTGCCTTTTCACACTGAAGTTATAAGGAGTGTTTGAGACCAGACTGTTCTTTCAAAGTGGCACAAGAAAGAGCAGCCAATCAGAACAGAGTTCATTTAGATATATTAGTCTTAAAGGCACAGTCAAAAAACAGCCTGTTTAAATTCTAATATGAATGTTTTTGGTACATAAAAAACCACACAAACATCATAACTAAAATACAAGAAATATACAGGATATGGGCCTTTTTACGATTAGTTTAACCTGGAGAAATGTACCATTTATTTGTTAGCATAGTAGCCCAGCATTGATTAAATGTTCTGCTGTTCTGGAACACAATAGATGCATCATCAAATATCAATTCAAATTATCTGTCAAATCTGAGCATCGATTGCTGATACTTTTTTTATTATGTTTTGGAGTATAAATGTGATTCCAATATCACTCCAAATCCCTGGTCATCCCTTTCTGAACAATCTAGTTTGACTCTATGGAAAGATTGCCCATGATGGATCAATCATTCATTTGCAGGAATGTCTGACCATTATTACAGTACAATGGTGACACATTTCAGACACAGATACATTATTTTGGTAACTGCATATGTAGTTCCTTTGTGGTTGTGATCTGACAATCAGTAAAATCTCACAGCTTTACTTTCGTTTGAGCAGACTACGTGAAGTGAGTTAAAATGAGTATCACTCTGAGAGAACGTCAGTCAGGGAGATTAGTTAGCTAGGAAAACATTAATGGCCCACTGAAGGCTGGCCACTGGAGAAGCATGCAAGAAGGAAGGAAAAAGAGCTTAGAGAAGGAGGTTAAGACAGGAAGAATGTGTTTAGTAGCGAATAAGAATGGGAAAGTTCAAAACAGTGGAGGTATGTTTATTATTTAATGCACTGCTTATAAAACCAGTTATGAGATTGCCTAGGGGTGGGCAATATGACGATATTATATGGGTATCAAGATAAATTATGTCATAATACACTTTTCTGAGCATAATGTGGTTTCATTGCAAAGTGAGCATAATTAGGCCTGTTTAATTGGGTTTAGGGCAGTGTTGTTTGTAAAACATTGAACAAAAACAAGGCAGTTGTAGGTTTATTACTATTATTATAGTATTTTTATATGTGGCACTACAGGTTCTATTTTGTCTGTTTCAACTTATTAAATCTCAGAAAAACGAGATATCGTGATATATATCATATATCGTAAAAATGTCACAGGACAGCAACATATAGAGCAGTGCACAAGTACTTGGATATCGAATTATGCTGTTTTCTGCTGATATCTAATATCTAATATCTAATCTCAGAACAGTGCCATCTCTAGTTTGAAGAAGAGAATGTCAGTTCGAATTCAAAAGCATTTATATCTATTTTGAGTGTACCATGGACCTTTATGATACACAGTTCCCAGTAAGTGACCATAAGTCATTAGACATATTAACCCATTTAAACCCACTAACAACTAAAGCTGCCCCAGTATATAGCCCTTTTCCTCCTTCAAAATCTAGTAGTGTGTTATACACTGTTTTAAATAATAATAATACATAAAAGGACACAAACGTATGAAATTATTGTACAGATTTAGGGAAAATTAATGTTGACCCTGTTTGAATGGTAGTATATCAAAAAGTGTAAAATCACAGGGACAGTTAAGGTTAACATTAAGAAATTCTAGCCTTAAATAAAACTGCCCACACTGGTCTACTCACTTCCAAACTGGATCACTGTCTGATTATTTTTATAGAGCATGGAAAAAAGTCAAACAGGGCTTGTGCTTGTCACTATCAATGTATTGTTATAATGTCATTATTACTGTCTTTCTAAAACATAATATTATTATCACTACAAAAGCCATCTACAGCAGAGCTTCAAAGGGGCTCCTGTATGACGTAGGTGTGCGTGTGTAAACTCCCTGTTGTTGGGATGAAGGTAGTGGTTACCTAACTGAGCCGAGCTGTGCATTATCACATTTGGATGGCTCAGGCTCTGATGTTTGCCAAGCCGCAGATAAGCTGCTCTGGCATTGGTCCACATGGCAGTCTGGGGACCGAGTGACTGGCTGTAGCCGCCATTCTCACAGAGCTATCCAAACACACTCTGTCCAAACACACTCCCATCAGAGCAGGAGCAGTTTAGCATTCCCACCACTGAGCGTGCACAATACATCTATCAGTTCATTCTTCCCCACCGCATCCTGCTGTAGGACTTTGAACTTGATCAGGAGAGCAGCATTAGATAATATACACAAAATAGGCTTGATAATAGAAAAGACAGTTATTGAAGAGAGAAGATGAGGAAGAGAGAAATGAGGAAAGTCAGAAGCAGCGAGTTTAGGAGAGAACGATTTAAGATTGAAGAAAATAAAATAAACCGATACTTACATAAAACGCACACGGCCAAACAGTGCGATGGGGAAAAGAAAAACATGCAGAATGGATGAGAGACCTTAAACACGAGCTGAAACTCAAAAGCAGTTCTTAGCATGCATAAAATGGACAAAACTCTAATGTTATTAAACAATAAAAACTCCCAATGTTATTGAACAATACATGCAAAATGACATCCAACACTATTTAAAGTGAAACATTTATGGTGAACTGAAGATTTTTGCATGACATCAAGAACTAAGAGCAAGGACACTGAATACCTCATTTTAGGATTGGGCAAATACAATGATATTTATTGTTATTGTGATACATAATGTAACATTATGTCACAACATGCTTAAAAAACACTGACCTGCATGTTTCGTTTCAAAGACAGCACAATTAGTCCTGTTTAAGTGGATTTAACCCTTGTGTAGTGTTGATGTGTTTGTTACCCAGCGGTCTGGTGGACCCACCACATTATTGTTTTTTAAAATCAGAACCATAACAATTTATGTAAAAATACTAGATGTCTAAAATATCACAAGTAGTCAGCGTAGGGTTCTCCTTTAGCAGTTGTAGCCAGTCAGCAGCCTGTCCGTGTTGTCTACCCTCACACACACACACACACACACACACACACACACACACACACTAACAGCAAGCCATGTAGTAGGAGAACAGAGTGAAGGACACAGCACCTCCACACTTTTATTCCCTGGGGGTTCACCCAACACCACATGTGTAATATATATATGTGGGGGGTGAACAGAGTGAAGACACTGAAAATGTGTCATATGTTCTTCACAGAAAATCTGAGGTTGAATTAACAATAAATTGCATAATCTTTTATTTTGGTAAACACTGAAAATGGGTCCCACAGACCTGAACACCACATAAGGGTTAATGCAGTGCAGTCTCTGGGAATATGGAATAAAAACCACTGCATTCATACTTTTTTATAGTATTTTTTAAAAGTGGCACTGCTGATTTTTTATTGTCTGTTCCAACTTATCAATTCTCAGAAAAAATAAATATTGTGATGCACACAGTGTATCTAGAAAATGTTGTGAAGAATTATGATGTTATATCTTTGCCGTATCTCCAACCCAACCCCATATAAAAACAGAACACCGGGCTTCAAAAGCATTTCACTGTGAATCCTTATAAAGCTCATAAAACTATCATATATTTTTAGGAATATTCTCACTTTATGCTGCAGAGTTGAAGTGAGGACGACGCGTAGGTTGAGAACGTGTCTCATCACCACATTCTGAAAGGCAGCGTGTTACATAAAAAAAATCAATCGCCTGGCTGTGATTTCAGTGTGCAAGTGAGGCAGGGGCTGCAACAAAGCCGAGAGAAGCCCCAGACAGTGCGGGTCATGTCCTCTGCTCACAGTCAGCAGGAGAAAAAACACAGAAGCCTCTGCTGCAGCTTCCAATTATCACCTCCAGCTCTGAAGTTATTCTATCTCTCTCTCCCACAGTTGAGAGCTAAAAAGGCAAGCTCAGCTCACAGCCTCTCCGCAGGTCACTGAGCCTGTAGAACAGCAGTTTGTGAAGCCCCCCACAGGGCAGCTGCCCTCTCTCACTCCCTCTTTCTGTCTCTCATCCTGTGTACGCAAAAACCTATCCACATTCACCATATCGTTTCTCTTTCGCTCCCTATTCCTCTCTCTCTGGTCGTCTTTGTGTGAGATACCAGGAATATTTTGAATGCCTGACGTCCCCACCCAGCAGCCATGATAGAGCAAACAGAGCAGCCCGATTCACACACTCACACACTCGGGGTCTGATAAAGAGAGTAAAGAGGACTGTCCAGTGGAGAGCGGTGCACAAATCAAGTCTAGTACTATCTCTCTATTTATCGATCGATCTCCACAGTAATAGTGTTGCAGGTCAATGGCAATATCTCAT